TATATTTTGAAATTATTGTTATTATTAATTTATTTAAAATTTTTTATATTATATTATATTATTAATATTTTATTGATATTATTTTGAGATTTTTTTTTTTATTATTATTTTATTTTTTTATTTTTTATTACATTATATATATTATTATTTCTACTGTATTAATATTATTATTATTTTAAATTATTGATATTAAATAAGTTTATAACATATTTACTTTTGACGTGACACAGAACTGGAGAAATTAAAGTTGTGGAGTTTTTAAAGATCAGTGGATGATTGTTTTTGTTCAGTTTGTCTGATGTAAATAAAGTTTGGAGTTTTTTTTAAAGAAAATAATCTGTGTCGTCAAAGAGTCAAATAATTCTGTTACACGACCCGAACCCAAAAACCAGAACCTGACCCCAGAAAAAAAACTGTTTCATGACTCAAGGACCAAGTGTTTATTTTGTACCTGGTTTAGTCCTGGTTTAGTCCTGGTTTAGTCCTGGTTTAGTCCTGGTTTAGACCTGGTTTAGACCTGGTTTAGTCCTGGTTTAGTCCTGGTTTAGACCTGGTTTAGTCCTGGTTAGACCTGGTTTAGTCCTGGTTTAGTCCTGGTTTAGTCTGGTTTAGACCTGGTTTGGTTTAGACCTGGTTTAGTCCTGGTTTAGACCTGGTTTAGTCCTGGTTTAGACCTGGTTTTAGTCCTGGTTTAGTCCTGTTTAGTCCTGGTTTAGTCCTGGTTTAGTCCTGGTTTTAGTCCTGGTTTAGTCCTGGTTAGTCCTGGTTTAGTCCTGGTTTAGTCCTGGTTTAGTCCTGGTTTAGTCCTGTTTAGTCCTGGTTTAGTCCTGGTTTAGTCCTGGTTTTAGTCCTGGTTTAGTCCTGTTTAGTCCTGGTTTAGTCCTGGTTTAGACCTGGTTTAGTCCTGGTTTAGTCCTGGTTTTAGTCCTGTTTTAGTCCTGGTTTAGTCCTGTTTTAGTCCTGGTTTAGTCCTGGTTTAGTCCTGGTTCAGTCCTGGTTTAGTCCTGGTTTAGACCTGGTTTAGTCCTGTTTTAGTCCTGGTTTAGTCCTGGTTTAGACCTGGTTTAGTCCTGGTTTAGTCCTGGTTTAGTCCTGGTACCTGTGCTGTCCAGATCAGGTCCTCGGTGGGTGTGGTGTCCTGGTCCTGGTCCTGGTCCTGGTCCTGGTCCTGGTCCTTGGATCCTCCACTCGGCGTCGTGTCCTCGTTCACTGCTCCAACCGCACAGAGACGAGAAGTCGAAGTCACAGGCGAACCACACGTACGCTGACACAGGAAGAACAAGCAACATGTCAGAAGAACAAGAAGGAAACACGAGAAGAACAAGAAGAAAACACGAGAAGAACAAGAAGAAAACATGAGAAGAACAAGAAGAAAACACGAGAAGAACAAGAAGAAAACACGAGAAGAACAAGAAGAAAACATGAGAAGAACAAACAGAACATGAGAAGAACAAGAAGAAAACACGAGAAGAACAAGAAGAAAACACGAGAAGAACAAGAAGAAAACACGAGAAGAACAAGAAGAAAACACGAGAAGAACAAGAAGAAAACACGAGAAGAACAAGAAGAAAACACGAGAAGAACAAGAAGAAAACATGAGAAGAACAAGAAGAAAACACGAGAAGAACAAGAAGAAAACATGAGAAGAACAAGAAGAAAACACGAGAAGAACAAGAAGAAAACACGAGAAGAACAAGAAGAAAACACGAGAAGAACAAGAAGAAAACACGAGAAGAACAAGAAGAAAACAGGAAGAACAGAGAAGAACGAGAAGAAGAGAAAACAAGAAGAACAAGAAGAAAACATTGAGAAGAACAAAGAAGAAAACGAGAAGAACAGAAGAAAAACACGAAGAAAGAACAAGAAGAAAACACGAAAAGAAAACAAGAAAAAAGAAAACAGAAGAACAAGAGAAAAACATGAGAAGAACAAGAAGAAAACAGAAAGACAAGAAGAAAAACGTAAGAAAAATGAGGAAAGAAAAGAGAAAAAAAAAAAGAAGAAACCGAGAAGAACAAGAGGGAGGAAACTGAAGGAAACAAGGGATGAGTACAAGGGAGTATTATCTGTTACATAAGGTGAGTTGTTGTACAGTTGTAGGGAGTATTATCTGTTACATAAGGGTGAGTTGTTGTACAGTTGTAGGGAGTATTATCTGTTACATAAGGGTGAGTTGTTGTACAGTTGTAGGGAGTATTATCTGTTACATAAGGGTGAGTTGTTGTACAGTTGTAGGGAGTATTATCTGTTACATAAGGGTGAGTTGTTGTACAGTTGTAGGGAGTATTATCTGTTACATAAGGGTGAGTTGTTGTACAGTTGTAGGGAGTATTATCTGTTACATAAGGTGAGTTGTTGTACAGTTGTAGGGAGTATTATCTGTTACATAAGGGTGAGTTGTTGTACAGTTGTAGGGAGTATTATCTGTTACATAAGGGTGAGTTGTTGTACAGTTGTAGGGAGTATTATCTGTTACATAAGGTGAGTTGTTGTACAGTTGTTAGGGAGTATTATCTGTTACATAAGGGTGAGTTGTTGTACAGTTGTAGGGAGTATTATCTGTTACATAAGGGTGAGTTGTTGTACAGTTGTAGGGAGTATTTATCTGTTACATAAGGGTGAGTTGTTGTACAGTTGTAGGGAGTATTATCTGTTACATAAGGGTGAGTTGTTGTACAGTTGTAGGGAGTATTATCTATTACATAAGGTGAGTTGTTGTACAGTTGTAGGGAGTATTATCTGTTACATAAGGGTGAGTTGTTGTACAGTTGTAGGAGTATTATCTGTTACATAAGGGTGAGTTGTTGTACAGTTGTAGGGAGTATTATCTGTTACATAAGGGTGAGTTGTTGTACAGTTGTAGGGAGTATTATCTGTTACATAAGGGTGAGTTGTTGTACAGTTGTAGGGAGTATTATCTGTTACATAAGGGTGAGTTGTTGTACAGTTGTAGGGAGTATTATCTGTTACATAAGGGTGAGTTGTTGTACAGTTGTAGGGAGTATTATCTGTTACATAAGGGTGAGTTGTACAGTTGTAGGGAGTATTATCTGTTACATAAGGGTGAGTTGTTGTACAGTTGTAGGGAGTATTATCTGTTACATAAGGGTGAGTTGTTGTACAGTTGTAGGGAGTATTTTCTGTTACATAAGGGTGAGTTGTTGTACAGTTGTAGGGAGTATTATCTGTTACATAAGGGTGAGTTGTTGTACAGTTGTAGGGAGTATTATCTGTTACATAAGGTGAGTTGTACAGTTGTAGGGAGTATTATCTGTTACATAAGGTGAGTTGTTGTACAGTTGTAGGGAGTATTATCTGTTACATAAGGGTGAGTTGTTTGTACAGTTGTAGGGAGTATTATCTGTTACATAAGGGTGAGTTGTTGTACAGTTGTTAGGGAGTATTATCTGTTACATAAGGGTGAGTTGTTGTACAGTTGTAGGGAGTATTATCTGTTTACATAAGGGTGAGTTGTTGTACAGTTGTAGGGAGTATTATCTGTTACATAAGGTGAGTTGTACAGTTGTAGGGAGTATTATCTGTTACATAAGGTGAGTTGTTGTACAGTTGTAGGGAGTATTATCTGTTCCATAAGGGTGAGTTGTTGTACAGTTGTAGGGAGTATTATCTGTTACATAAGGGTGAGTTGTTGTACAGTTGTAGGGAGTATTATCTGTTACATAAGGTGAGTTGTTGTACAGTTGTAGGGAGTATTATCTGTTACATAAGGGTGAGTTGTTGTACAGTTGTAGGGAGTATTATCTGTTACATAAGGGTGAGTTGTTGTACAGTTGTAGGGAGTATTATCTGTTACATAAGGGTGAGTTGTTGTACAGTTGTAGGGAGTATTATCTGTTACATAAGGGTGAGTTGTTGTACAGTTGTAGGGAGTATTATCTGTTACATAAGGGTGAGTTGTTGTACAGTTGTAGGGAGTATTATCTGTTACATAAAGGTGAGTTGTTGTACAGTTGTAGGGAGTATTATCTGTTACATAAGGTGAGTTGTTGTACAGTTGTAGGGAGTATTATCTGTTACATAAGGTGAGTTTGTACAGTTGTAGGGAGTATTATCTGTTACATAAGGTGAGTTGTTGTACAGTTGTAGGGAGTATTATCTGTTACATAAGGTGAGTTGTTGTACAGTTGTAGGGAGTATTATCTGTTACATAAGGGTGAGTTGTTGTACAGTTGTAGGAGTATTATCTGTTACATAAGGTGAGTTGTTGTACAGTTGTAGGGAGTATTATCTGTTACATAAGGTGAGTTGTTGTACAGTTGTAGGGAGTATTATCTGTTACATAAGGGTGAGTTGTTGTACAGTTGTAGGGAGTATTATCTGTTACATAAGGGTGAGTTGTTGTACAGTTGTAGGGAGTATTATCTGTTACATAAGGTGAGTTGTTGTACAGTTGTAGGGAGTATTATCTGTTACATAAGGGTGAGTTGTTGTACAGTTGTAGGAGTATTATCTGTTACATAAGGGTGAGTTGTTGTACAGTTGTAGGGAGTATTATCTGTTACATAAGGTCATGTTGTTGTACAGTTGTAGGGAGTATTATCTGTTACATAAGAGTGAGTTGTTACAGTTGTAGGGAGTATTATCTGTTACATAAAGGTCAGTTGTTGTACAGTTGTAGGGAGTATTATCTGTTACATAAGGTGAGTTGTTGTACAGTTGTAGGGAGTATTATCTGTTACATAAGGTGAGTTGTTGTACAGTTGTAGGGAGTATTATCTGTTACATAAGGGCGAGTTGTACAGTTGTAGGGAGTATTATCTGTTACATAAGGTGAGTTGTTGTACAGTTGTAGGAGTATTATCTGTTACATAAGGTGAGTTGTTGTACAGTTGTAGGGAGTATTATCTGTTACATAAGGTGAGTTGTTGTACAGTTGTTAGGGAGTATTATCTGTTACATAAGGGTGAGTTGTACAGTTGTAGGAGTATTATCTGTTACATAAGGTGAGTTGTTGTACAGTTGTAGGGAGTATTATCTGT